CGAAAATCATTTACTAGAGAAAGATTAATCAAGGTTGGGGAAAGACGAAGATAAGGCATTTCCAGATAATACAATAGTTGCTGTTTACAACCTTCTACCTTGCCCTCTTGGCGATGTATCCACGTTTTACTATGTCTCAAAGTTAAACGTATTCAACACTTTACAATTTTTGATTCAAAAACCAGAGATGTTGATTGCTTTATATGGCATGAGGGAGAAGCAAAACGTGGATCCATAGAAATTGCAGCCTGTGTTTGGCGTTTTTTAGAAAGAGTAAATCAGGGAAAGTCCGAATCAAAAGACGTTATTTTTTTTATTCTGATAGTTGTGCCGGTCAGAATAAAAATAGAACAATAATATCAATGTATTATCACGCAGTGAAAACCCTAAAACACATAAATTCAATTACTTATAAATACCTAATCCCTGGGCACACACAGAATGAAGGAGACAGTGCCCATTCTGTTATTGAATCAGGTATTAAAAATGTCAAAAAATCAGGTCCAATTTATGTGCCCGATCAGTATATTACTATTATAAGAGCGTCAAAGGAAACGGGAAACCCGTACATGGTGCACGAGTTAACTCACGAAGACTTCTTCAAGTTTCGTGACATTCTGAGCGATGAAGCATTCAAGATTTCAGAACTTTTAATTTTCCGAATTGAGAAGGCTAACAAAAATCAGTTATTTTACAAAACGTCATACGGTAGCCATCTTTGGTCGAAATTAACGTTTATAAAAAATAATGGCAATAATTTAACTATTAAAACCAGGAGCAGTTCTAAAAGCAAAGGCCAGATACCACCAGAACCGATGGAACCAGCCTATACGAATAAAACGGGGATCACTGAAAAAAAAAAGTAATATTGAAACTAATAAAGAAAGGAGCGGTGCCAAGATACAGTTATTTTTATAATAATTTGCAACTTTTTTTTAAATAATAATTATTACCTATTTGTGAGTTGTTTTTAATATCGTTTTATAGTTTACGTGTTTAACTGTTTTAAAAAACAAATTTAGTTGGTAACAAACTGATGCCCTTCAATAAATATATAAGGATGCTTTCAACAACTTAAGGGAAATCAGAGGGCTGCCCCAGTGAGCTTTATGTGGGTAGTTACATGATACAGTGTAAATATGAAAGCGATCGCAGTTGTGGGTAAGTCGTTGCGTCCTTTTAAAAAATCATTGAATTTTTAAAATGTGATTTCTGAAAATTGTCATTTTTTCAGTTGCGACGCTGTTGCTCGGAAGTAGCGATATTATATTCTGGCCTCTCACTGTCCTTTAGAAAGCAGCATTTTTTATAATACTTCCCTTTTTTAACAGAGTTGACTCATTTTTTTTTGGTATAAAATGTGTTTCGCATTTTTTCTCCTATACCTTTAATGTTAAATGGGCTATGCCTTCCCGTATTAAAATGAAAAAGAAAGTATTCATGGAATATTTTGAAATTTTTAAAAACACTATATTGTTAACTGAGATACGAGCTATAATTCTACAGATTTCCATGGAAATTGAGGCATTTTTCTGTCTAAAAATGTGCTTCGCGTTTAGTTCAAGCTCTCGTACTTTTACCGAAAACAGCCTTAAGGAAATATAAAATACTCATATGGACTGAGATATAATACACTTATGTACTGCAGAATGTATTTTACAATTACAGTTGGACCTCTATATATAACGAAGTCTCTAAATCCCGAAAATAAGTTCGTTATACAGAGGTTCATCTTTCAGTTTTCTTCATAAACCACATAGAACAGATTTTAAACTTATAAACACAGTATATTAAAAATAATTATTCACATTTTTTTCTAAATTAATATATATTTGTTTTATATATCTTACCAATCAAAAAAATATAAAAAGTGCAAGGAAAGTTTCTTGACGCCTTTATTCACTTCCTGAAGAATTAATTTCTTTCTTTGATGCTCAAGCACTTACGTTTTGACATTTTCGAGCCCGAGAAAAAGAAGTTATCAGTACAACTGATCAACACTTGAAATGAACAGAGTTATTAAGAGTTCAAGGACATGAGAACACGAGACAATTCCACTGAGGGTGAAAGGAGATATCGAAGATGTTTCCAGTGAACTGGACAATGGGGATTAAATATTGCACTTCTTGGATGAAACGCCCAGAATTGTATTGCTATTTACGAGTTAGGCACGTAATAAATCCATTTCAAGATTTATGGCCACCGTCAAATGAGTTAAGAGAGAAAGAAATTTGAAATGTCCAGGAAGACTTTAAAACAGTCGTGTAAGAATATTGAATCGCGGGAGAAAAAGTTGGTTTTATTGAAAATGGAAATCGCTGTTGGGAGGTTAGTTTACGAAGAAATGTTCTTGGTTCCGGAAAAGGTCCGCTCTATAGAAAAATTCGTAATATGGAGGTTCGACTGTAATTTAATAATAATTACCAGTGATCCATGCGCTGGTCATGCATAAAATTTTTACAAAAATTCATTCTCTTTATAATTAATCCCTTAACTGCCAAATAAAAGTTACGCGATTCGCACCTCAATGCCACCACGCTTATGCGATGGATTGGGGGGGGGATAAATAGGAATAAATACTTCGCAAACACTCTCAAAGTTCTTTTATTGCATTCCAAAGCTTTCGGGATAATTTTATGGATAGCAGTACACAGAGAAGATCATTCTTCCAAAAGACGTATGTATATGTCCGGGGTAGTTAATGCTTTGGCTGAGCGAGACGTCTATACTCGCTTAAGTTAAAGTTTTATTGTAGCTCTAGCGTCAAAGTATTGAATTCAATACGTTGTTATTGTACGGAGGGAGGGGGCGATGAAAGTTATGGGGTCGCAAATACTTAAAGTTTGAGAAGCACTGATTTATAGTTTTTATTCTACAAAAAGACGTATCCGCTCACAACCGACGTTGGACAGTACACAGAGAAGATCATTCTTCCAAAAGACGTATGTATATGTCCGGGGTAGTTAATGCTTTGGCTGAGCGAGACGTCTATACTCGCTTAAGTTAAAGTTTTATTGTAGCTTTAGCGTCAAAGTATTGAATTCAATACGTTGTTATTGTACGGAGGGAGGGGGCGATGAAAGTTATGGGGTCGCAAATACTTAAAGTTTGAGAAGCACTGATTTATAGTATTTATTCTACAAAAAGACGTATCCGCTCACAACCGACGTTGGACAGTAGAGCAAACGAAGAAACGTCTGACTACGGATCAGGAAATCGCAGGTTCGAATCCTGGCTGGCTCGATATATATGTATTAATATGTATACATATACAGTTGTCAAAATGATTATTTGTACAGCACTTTTTTCTTCGTTTTTCATGAAATAAAAACCCATACTTCAGTTGCGAATTAATCATGCATTTCTTTAATGCGTCTAATTGCTGTATGCAAATTATTTTTCTTTTTAAGTGTAGAAGTAAATTGTAATCTGGAAAAGTGTGAAAAATCGTTGCAAAAAGAGTATTTGAACAGAATTCTTTTAGTGTAAGTATGGCAAAAGTTTTTATTAAGCTTTTTAGATTCAACTTAGTTTTTCATACGTTTTTCTTTGTTTATCAATAATATTTAAAGAGTTTCAGATTATATTTAAATTTACAGATATAATCTTGAAAATGGTTCCTAAAACCAAAGAAATTTCTTTAGATATGAGAAAACATATTACAGAGCTCCATAAACAGGGAAAATCTTTCCGGGAAATAGGAAAAATTTTAAAACTGTCATTTACAACCGTTGGTTATATGGTAAAAAAGTATTTAGAGACCGGCATTGTTGAAAGTAAGCCCAGACCTGTTGGTCCGAGTAAATTGACTTCAAGAGCTAAGCGAATGATTGTAAGGTCAGCAACAAATAAACTAATGACATCTGCTCAAAATATTGTCAATGAACTTCTGTCACGTAACGTTTCAGTGTCTGCTCAGACAGTCAAAAATGTACTGCACAGCGCTGATCTGAAAGCCAGATCTCCCCAAAAGAAACCTTATATTAGTGAAGTAAACAGGAAAAGACGTCTAGAGTTTGCCATGAAGTACAAAAATAAGCCCATGGATTTTTGGAAAAATGTTATTTTTCTGATGAGAGCTAGTTTGAGATTTTTACACCACCAAGTATTTGAAAAATTTGGAAAAAAAAAATAAAACAGCTCTTGAACCCAAAAATGTACTTCCCACTTTAAAATATGGTGGCGGAAATGTTATGGTGTGGGGATGTGTAGGTCATAATGAAGTGGGTAACTTAGCATTTATTAACAATAAAATGAATGCTTTATTTAGCTTATATCGATGTGTTGCGACATAATTTGTTAGAAAGTGCTAAGAAATTGAGCACATGGAGAACACTTTTACATTCCAAGAAGACCGCTATAGTTACTAAGACCTGGTTGCTTTATGCTCCAAGGCGACTTGAAACACCTCCACAATCTCCAGATCTCTTAATCCTATAGAAAATTTATGGAGGCATTTGGACACTGAAGTTCGGAAAAAAATGTAACAAGTAAAGAGAACTTAAAAGAAAAACTTCAAGAAGTTTGGAACTCTATTGAGACACAGAAGAAATCACAAAGAAATTAATTGAGTCAATGCCAAGGCGTCTTGAAACAGTTATAAAAGCCAATGGACTGTTTATAAAGTATTGAAATTTCATTACATAGTTGCATATGTTTTGCTAATGTTTACTAAGCAAGTATACAAATAATCTTTCGTATATAATTTTTTTTAAAAAAAAATTCACTTATTTCAAATAAATACTTAATTTATTTTTTTTATTGAGAAATAATCTTATTTTTTAAAATCATTTAAATGTATCTCAATAACTTTTAGTTATATTACTTAATTTAATTTTGAATAACATACAAAATTTTACGTGTACAAATAAACATTTTGCCAACTTTATATCACATATATAAAATATGTATTTTTATATTTTATTTAGAATTCCAATTCTATAAAGTGCGTTTTAATAGAAAGTATGCATTTCTTAAAATGCATCCCGCTCGATTATTACGAAAGCATGTGGTGCAACGGATAACGCGCCTGACTATGGATCAGGAGATTCCAAGTTCGAATCTTGGGTTTTTCAAGGAGTGTGACAACGAATTTTTTTTTTTGATAATAATACATTAGTAATATTTATTTTACAAAAAGACGTGTCAGCTCACAACCGTTGTTAAACATAGCTCATCGGGAAAAACGCCTGACTACGGATCAGGAGATTCCAGGTTCGAATCCTGAACAAGCTCGATATTTGGCGGTGAATTTTTATGTTTATTTTTTTTAATGTAGAATTCCAATCACGTAAAGTGTGCTTTTACGTGGGCCAGTGGTGCAACGAATAACGCGCCTGACTACGGATCAGGAGATTCCAAGTTCGAATCTTGGTTTTTCAGGGAGTGAGAACGATTTTTTTTCCTTTGATAATAATACACATTTGTAATATTTATTTTACACAAAGACGTGTCAGCTCACAACCGTTGTTAAACATAGCTCATAGGGAAAAACGCCTGACGTGGTTCGAATCCTGGCTGGCTTGATAAATAGCAACGAATTTTTCCTTTTATGATATAGTCATCTTATTTCTTCTGCGAAAAGATTTGGAAATCTTAAGATACATACAGATTTATGTAACGTGGGTCAGTGGAACACGCCCGATTATGGATCAGGAGATTCCAGGTTATACTCGATACGTAAATATGTTTTTATACACTGATAAAAACAATTGAAGAGACCAATGGGGCTTTTGTGCAATAGAAAAAGAACTAACAGAGCAAATAAAAGCAAACTTGACCAAAATGTGATCGGTTATAAGATCGATAAATAAATATATATATATATATGGGGAAACAAATATTATCACAACCGACACCCTAAAGAAAACTGGTCATTTCACCAGTAAAGCAGCTAACGCATGCTCTGTCAGTACATGCCTAATAGGATGAATGAGTCAGTGTTTCCTACTGTTTCCCGAGGTCCACTCTTGTGTCAAGGCACTTTTGAGCTCGTCTTCGAGATGCAGTTGAGTGTCTAGGGACGTCTCCAATGGGAACATCACAGGCTGCGGAGGAAGAATAAAAACCGAGATTCAACTCGGGTTTATCAGCATGCCAAGGTAATTTTGGGCCTTAATTGCAGCACCTTTCGATTGAGTGCTGTCATTTAGATCAGTATTTATCTACTCTTTTTCATGATACCGCTGTCAAGTTAATATTTTATGTCGACAACTTCCTTTAATTCAGAGAAGGAATTGCATCATTTCATTCAAGATTCAACCAGGCTGATGGCACAAGCCAAGTTTGACCCTAGAGGTTGAGAATTTACAGGAGAAGCAATTTCATTAAAAGATCCAAACTCCTGTTTTACAACTTTTGTAAGATAAATCACAAGATATGCTCTTCTATGATAATTCCTTAGTAGAAATACCTCCAGATATCATTACTAGGCGTGCGATTTTATCTTATGCCAATAGAGTTCTTGATCCGATTGGTTTTACTTGTCCGGTCTCTTTGCAACCAAAAATATTATTACAAGAGAGTTGGCGATCAAAAGGGAGCTAGGATTCTGAAGTATCAAAGGATATGAAGAAAACATTCCTGAAATGGATACAAGATATCAAATGTTACATATTGTGAAAATTCAAAGAAAATTTTTAATTAGCAATATATCCTCTTTTAGCTTTCACGTATTTTGCGATGCTAGTGGCATTTCATATCTAGCAGCTGTATTTATTCCATGTCATTCAGCTCATCATACCTCTAGCTGCATAGTCTAAAATAGCCCCCATTAAAACCCGTTACTATTCCGAGACTGGAGCTACTTGCCTGTTGCATCGGTGCAAGACTCTCAAAAGTTGTAAAAGAGAGCTGAAACATTGTAAACGTAAAAACACACTTTTCGACTGATTCTTCCACAGCTCTCCAATGAATGAAACGAGAAGAACCTTGGAGTGTTTTTTGTCCGCAAAAGAGTAAGATCCACAAATTGTGAAACATCGATGACAGGAGACATGTTCCAGGGGCATTAAATCCCGCCGATTTGCCCTCCAAGGGATGCTCTGTTTTCAAGCTTTTGATATCTAAACGGTAGGAGGGACCCACGTGTCTACTTTTACGTGAAGAAATGTGGCCAGAAACGAGTCACCCAATTAACGAGGGGATTATCTCAACAGAAAAATATGGCAAATCATTTAGTCTCTTAAACAACTCTCCTGTTACTGCAAGTCCTTACTCTCTGTTATCAAGCTACAACAAAATTATTAGAATTATATAATGGATCTTAAGATTTAAGCCTAATTCGAAGACCGTTAAAGAATGCAGAAAAGAAGTATGTTTGACTATATTTGAAGCAGAAGAAGATTTTTCAGCTGATTCACACAAGTCTCTTTCACAGAAGAATAAGTTAAGGCTGTTTTCGCCATAGGTACGAGAGGAGAAAAAACACATTATGATAAAATAAGTGATTCCCTACAGGATAGTGTAGCCAGAATATAATAGTAATGTTTGAGTACTTTTATAACTGGAAAAATATTACGAATTCGACCCTATTCTTTTACATTAGCCGAAGATAGCCTTAAACATTTGAAAACCCTCAATGTTTTAAGAGATGAGGAGAGTATTTTAAGGATTAAAACCAAGCTGAATGAGAAGAATGGCTTACAAAATTTTATATACCCCATTCTTCTTCCTGGAAAACATAGGTTAGTGGAACTTCTGGTCAGAGAGGCTCATTTGGGAAAACTCTCACGCTGGAGTACATATTCTGTTGTCAAAATTGGGAGAAAGTTTTTGGGTTATAATTGGAAGAAGAGCAGTTGGCAGGGAAATTAACAAATGCTTAAGAAACATTTTCAGGAAGATAGAGACAACAACTGTCAGTTTGCCTCAGGACAGAGTAAAAAAATCGGCTGCGTTTGAAGTGAGCGGAGTTGACTTGGCTGGGTGAGTGAGCGAATATTAGCGTCTCACTGTTCAGCTACACGAGGGTTTTTGGCGACGAACCTCGTAATTTTGAACCATCGTCAAGTGACGAGTACACTGCGAAAAACCGGTATTCAGAACGGAGTACAAAATACTCACTTTTGAATACGTCACATACTCAAAATAGCTCCGATGCAAACATACTCAAATTTGAGAAAAGCCCATTCTCATCTTTGGCATCGGCTACGTACTCAAAATTGTAAACATCGCATACTCATTTTTGAACCTGTTACTGGATCAAATTTGAGAATATAACAGCTAGATGAGTGTGTAATGCACTTATTTATGAGTATTTATGGGTCAAATATGAGTATGTATGTTATTTATTTTCGATACTGTTGTATCCAATACGAATTTTTAACATAAAAATATACATCAAATCAAATTTAAAGGGATCTAAATATGCGATACGTAAGTTTTGGTAAATTTCATTTTTTTCCATCTTATATATTATTTAATTTACATTTTATGAAGTTTTTACCACTTAACTTCGAAAATCTAAATTCCTTTTGCATTTATTGTGTTACAAAAAGGTACTTTAGTATCATCGCAAAAATTCCAACGTTCAAGATAATTCGCCATGTCTCGTACGCGTTGAATTAGCAACCATGTACTTAATTTTATATGCTGTCGCCAATACAACAAAAATTTTACTTTAAGAAAAAAAATACAACTATTATTTGTTCAAAAACTTTGTCTTCGAAATAATACATCAGATTTAAATCTTTGAAAATAACAAAAATAGTTTCGATGAAATAGTTAAACAAATTTGTAAGCGTTTGAACTAGTTCCAGAAACAATTTGGTTTATTACAAGTTATATTTATGTTTCTAAAAGAATTATATTATTTTTTTTAAAATCCTATACAAGCAGAAAATTAACTTTTATTTAAATTCAGTCTTTCAATAATAAGTTATTAGAAATATCTTGGAAACGTTAGGATGAATAACAGACTTTATATAGTAAAAATTTCAAAACAAAGTAAGAAAGAAATAGTTCTTTACATATTATGTAATGAAGAAAAAGCCTTTTGACTAAAATAACACTCATTAGGCCCAGGTGTGTGTGTGTGTGTGTGTGTGTGTGTGTGTGTGTGTGTGTGTGTGTGTGTGTGTGTGTGTGTGTGTGTGTGTGTGTGTGTGTGTGTGTGTGTGTGTGTGTAAGTACTTTTTATGAATTGTTTTGTTTAAATAGAAACACATTCATCTAGATGGAAATATAGAAAAATCCATTGCAATATATATTACAAATTAAGCTAGTTTTTATTCATATCAACTGATTTTATACTCTCCTATCACCAAAGAAAACAAATTATAGTTTTTAAGTTAATGTTTTTATAATCAAAAATTAAAATACTTAAAAATTTCAGTCCTTAGAAGAATGTAAAAACAACTAAAACAGTAGAACCATAATCCAATATACAGCATTTTATTTTCAATGCCTCTTTTTTTTTCAATGATTCACTGTAAACAAGAAAAATAAAAACAAACCAAAATCATATTTTTTGAAATATTTATTCTGGAAATTGGACATATACATATCATACATTCAAAAAATAAACAAAAATATAAGTGAGATTTTTTGAAACAACATACCTTCATCCATAAGTTATTTTTTATAAACACTATACAATCGATACTATAGTCAACTCCATTGTTTTAATGTAATATATATTGAATTATTTGCTTACTAATAGAAATGAAATTAATGCAAATTAAGAATAAAGCATTCATCATCTAAAAACACGATAACAGGTTTAAAAAGTATGATTTTCTAAATATTACACATGAAGGCATGTATTTTTTTGAAGTTCACATGTATAAAAATTACTGTTCAAAAATACCACACATTCGAACAATATATATATATCAGTACACTACACACCGAATATCTTTTAGGCATGGTTTTGAAATTGCTGCAAATAAGATTTTGGTATCCAATAGTTTTCAATCTAAGATGATGGTCTCGCAATAAGAACTCAACATGAAAATAGTTTAAAAGAATGGCTTATTCCTGACAAAAGAGGAATTACATTATGAAGCAAAAATGTAAGTACTTTTTTGTAGAAAACCAATTAGAAAAATATGGGTGCCAGGATTTAAAAAAAAACAGAACACAAGGTATTTAGAAATGCCAGGAAAATCTATGGAAATTGGAATGTGGGGAAAATGGAAAAATAATAACTGCATTTAAAAGCGTGGGGTGCTTGATATCAATTGCTATAATTTCTTAATAGTTCTATTCTGTAATACAAAGTTCGTGTAAAA